CACTGCTACTCTGTACTGCATGCAACTCAGCAGTGGTCGCAAGCGTCGCAAAGGGCAGGGAGGCAGCCTCGCGCGCTGTCGAACGCCCCCCCGGCCCAGACAGAGGCATCACAATCATGCTCTGGCCAGCGTCTGGTGGCTCGGCATTGCGCAACACACGCCGCAATCAGCCTGAGAGCAGATGATGGGGTGGGCGCGGGTGGACGAGAGTGGAGCCGAGTTGGGTGGGAGAGGGAGCACGCACGTGCAGCGGTGCCGAGAGTGGGTTGAGATGGCACCGCCTGCGGCCGCCCGGGCGACGGCTTGCGCAGGTATGTTGTTCATGTCCTTATCCGCCGCCGCTTGGCTGCAGCAGCCAATGACGCCGCCTTTGCGAAGCGGCGTCTGGACGCGCTTGGCGGTTGACGCCGGCCCGCCACTGCGCCTCGTGCGCGTCCACCTCCGTCGAGGTCGACGCGTCGAGATCGGAGCGCATCACCGAGATGCCAGAGCCCGCCTTCGCCGACATGATTCCCCGCCCGGATAGCTCGGTGAGTGTGCCGTCGCCCGAAACGGAAAACCGGACACGGGAAAATAAGGTAAGCTAACATCGAAGGCTAAGCTCAAAACATAAACAGCGAGGAAACGCACTCTCTCACGTTACAAGGGACATTCTGCAGAGATGCAGGGAGGAGCTCAGCCTTCGAGGAGCTCAGGCGCTTAAGAAAGCGCCAAGAGGGGGGGTGCCACAAAGGTGTGGCGGAGAGGTGACGCCGCGGTGCCCACTGGTGCCCGCAAGGTGCACCGGCCTTGGAAGCCGCCCGCCGGGCCAGCAGCCGCCGCCAGCGCTGTCGCCACGCTGCTGGCCACGGCCCGCGTGCACGCTGCTCGCGCCATCCTCCTGACCAACCCTCTGCGCATGCACAATTGCATCCGTTTCGCCGCGCGAGCCATGGTGAGGCCGTAGAGGTGCTAGGTAGGGTAGAAAGGTGAAGAACAGCCAGGCTCGGACTGGACACCAACGCGGTATGGGTGGACGCTAGACAGTAGACAGATGATTGATGACGACACGCACGAGCGACACACAGACACAAACAGGCTCACAAGACACACAGCCAGCGGGCTGGCCTGCCACACACCCTGAGTAGGCGTACACATAACTCAAGGCCACATCCTCCCTGTCGCCCCCCCCAGCGGCACTCCAAGGTGCCAAGAGAACAAACAAACGCAAGGGCACAAGTGCGAGGCGTGAACCGCGCCATTCGCTCTCACCTGGCAACCCTGTCTGCACGTCTTGCGCGCGCGTGAAAAGGGCCCTTAGAGTTGTTTGGTATTGCTAAAAATCTCTCTCTCAAACAACAGACAGACAACAGGAAGTGACATGCGAGGCTAGAGCAGGCTTGCTCTACCTCCAGCAATCTCTCCGGCCGGCGAGGCACGGACGAGACCGTGTGTGGGGTCTAGTGAGGTGTCTATGGACGCCCTCCTCAGAGGCTAGGTGCTGAGACGAACTAGGAGCGTGTGAAAAAGAATTCAAGGTGAGAGCCGCCAAGCCGCCTCCCTCTTGCTCCGCCGCCGTCTTTCCTCGCCGCCCTCTCTACCGCCATCAGCATCGCAGTCTCCGCAGGTCTGTCCACCATGCTCCTCCTTTGCTTCCCGCTCGCGCTCGTCTCTCTCTCCGCTCCGCGCGACGAAGTTTCCTTTGATTTCGGTTGGCGTTCACAACCGGGCTCAGCACG